GTTTCCCTCCCGGGAGGAACATCATCGACTTGAGATATGTATTTTTATAAGATCTAATATTTCTTCCCCCCCCCTTTAAATTGATTTTAATAGTGCCTTAATTTACATCAAAGAGCCATTACATTATGACCACTCTCCAACTATAACAATGGACTCGCCCAGGAACGATGTTTTCATGGGGCACATTAGGATCCATAATCCGCATAGAACAATTCCTGACGTCTGTAAGCTACTTGAACATAGTTGCAGACCAGGTTCACCCATTCATGGCAACAGTTTTTCCTGCCGGGGATGGTGTTTACCAACAGGATAATGCACCATGTCATAAGGGTCGAATCGTCGAGGAACATTCCAGTGACTTTCAAGTCATGTCTTGAACCCCAAATTCACCTGACCTTAATCCAATAGAGCATTTGTGGTCCTACTTGGAAAACCAAATTCGTGCTGCCACGCTACCTCCTCGCAATGTGAGGGAATAGCAGGACCAGTTGGTGAGCGCTTGGTACAAAATACCTCAGACTACCTATCAGCACCTTGTGCAATCAATGCCACTGCGGGTGCTAGCAGTTTTGAGGGCTAAAGGTGGTCCTACATGGTATTAGCAGGGTGGTCATAATGTAATGGCTCTTCGGTGTATATTATACTTAAATTATATATGTGTTGATTTTTAAACAACGGCCATGCACGCAAAACCTTTCATTGATTTGTTAAAACTTTGTAACCCGGAAAACTTTCTTATCAATTAATAAACTTATTGACTGTTATGATGCCGGCCATTATTTTAGACTGAATTGACTTTTAATAATTAATTATTTGTGATATTAATCTTTCCTTTCTTTAGATTAATAATTTTAGTTTCTCACTTAGTAGCTTAGATGAATCTTAACTTATCTCTTCTTTCCCTTATGTTGTATCCTAAGTTTAAATCTGTACGATCACGATTGTAATATTAAATAACAGATATAACAATACAGTTAAGTGGCAGTAACTATTAAAAATATTAACGAATAAAAGACATCAATCGCTCATCGATAACTAAAATAATTATAAGAAACGTTGATCGAGTAGAAAATTAATCTTACAATCAAAGGTCAGAACTGGTTTGCATAATATTATAAGTTAGTTCGTTTTAAATAAAAAAAATGCGTCAACCGAGACAGAAGGCCAATGACCTCAAATTAAAATGCTTTCTTTCAAATCCCTTCACAACCGTTTATTGAGTTATATGATTATTTCAAAATGAATTCAGAAAATCGGTATGGTTAAATGATTTCTTAGGAAAAGAAATTAAATCTTTTAAGAAGTTATTCATTTTATTAAAAACAATTGGTTTAATAAGTTTTTAAGAAATTTAAATTAGCTTAAAATCTTTTCTCAGAATATTTGTGTTAAGATTTTGTTTTATATTATTTAATGATGCTAAATCCAACCTCTATCTCATCCCCGGGTAGCAAATTTAAAATCTCAACAAAAAAAAAATTCATAAATAAAAAAATAAATTGGATTTGAATTTTCCAGAAAAATGCTCCGCGATTTGACTAACAGCTCGCCCGCGTTGGCTCGGATAGAGCGATCGCTTTCCAATAAGGTGACCAAGGTTCAAATCCCAACTTGAATGAATTGTGATGAATAATGTATCGTTTAAAATTACTTACATATTTGATCCGAAGCATATTTCTTGAGATTTTTTATCGTTTTACTCCATTTTTGGCAAAAAATCAAAAAATATGTGCAGCCTTTAAGGAAAATCCTACATATATATATATTAATATTTTTCCAACATTAACAAATCACATAAAATTTTCTTTTTACGAAAAGAACCTTAAAAGCACGAGTTTTTTAATCGCAAATTATCACATAAGAAACGTTAAGTATCTCTTTTTAGTTGACAGAATTAAAAACCGCAAAAAAAGTATTACAAGTTATCAATTATTAACTAAATCGCCACCTTAAAATTTTTGATTATGTAAAACTTGTATCACAATAAATAAAACGAACTGTAATTGTATTCACATACATTTTAATTTTAAATTATTTTTATCTCTTCTTTTGTATAGGAAAATATTTTTAAAAAAAATGTGCAACTTTTGACTTTAAGTACAAAAATGTAAAATAATAACTTACTAAAATAAATTTGAATAATTTTTAAGATAAATTTAGTAAACGACCAAAAATAAGTTAAAGAGTTTTTTAGGGATGATATACTAACTGTCCTCAGGTAAAATTATTAAATGGTAAGTTGCTCGAAGGAAAAAATTTTCTTAGAAAAGTGAAGATTTGCGAAATTTCCTTTTATATTAAATAAAGTCTCTCTCTTCAATCCTTGAAACTCACTTCCCAAGATAAGTATATATTTTTAAAATAAAATAAGGAAGGAAAGCCGTGGAGGCTCAAGTGATAGAGCACTTGCCCCTTAATGAGGTTAGCCGGGTTCGAATCCCAGCATTGGCAGGTCAATACCAATTCTCCACGCGTCTTGCAACGCCCAAAGCGCTGATATAAAATATCCTATGTGGCAGATGGATTATGTGTTAGAGTCTCCTTGCCATCAGGCAAACCGTGGGAGGTTCCACCAAAAGCTCTTCACGAAGACAATTTCTCCAAATACTTGTCTTCTGGCTTGGGTTCAAAATTGCAAGACATTTTTCTTAAACACGCATTTTGAACTGTGTTCATTTTTCTTAATCACGCCATTTGAGCTGTATCCAAAATAACTAGCTATTACACATATCCTAGATCAGTGATGCCCAAAGTGTGGTACGCGTACCGCCAGGAATACGGGAACAGTTTAGAAGGAGTACGCGTTCTTATGCGAAATGTCTTGGAACAAACGAAAATTTGAAAAAAATTTCTTTCAAAACAGAGCTAGCAATGAAAGCTTACGATTATGTATTTTTCTATTGGCTATTTTTTGCAGAGTTAACAGTTAATAATTAGTGGTGTCAACAGCCAGGGGTGATTTTTTACTTATGTGTCATTTTTTTGTAGTAAAAAATGCATTAATTTTTTTATTAGTGGTACACAGCGTTACGAAAAATTTAGAAAGGGTAAACAGAAGTCATAAGTTTGGGAAACACTGTCGTAGATGAAGAATTGTACAACAATTAAAAACGCGTAATACTCGAATATAAGTTCTAAAATGGCGTTCAGGTAAATACGAAACTTCACCCTCGTTAGCAAATACTGCCTGATCGAGAAAAAAAATTAATTGGTTTTTAAGACTAATGGACCGAAACGACATTACTTTCTGGTCCCCCTAATAATTCAGAATTATTAAACAAGCTTTGTAATTTTATTGGAAACTAAAATTAGGTGACTGGACTGTGTAAGGGTCAGGGAACTGGCCTTGTACCGGAAAGGTTCTGGGTCCGAATCCCGGATGTTCTTGTTGCTTGGATCTTCTTTCATTTAATGTACTATCCTTCTTTACTGTGGGAGCAACGTTGGTCCACAACGTATGGTGCCCCTGAAATCAGCCCTGTAAAATGTCCGAATTGAAGAAATGTTAACGCAGGTGGGCATTGGAAATAAATAAAAAAAATATATTAGTAAACTATTTTTGTGTCAAAGAGGATATTTTATTTTCAGTCAAGAAAACACAATATGACATCAATATTAAGCTCATTTTAATTGAAAAAAGCAGATGTGATTTTCGTTGTTTGGTCTGCTTAAAATAACTATTTGTAGAATAAGTATTAACATTATCATAGAAAATCGCCAGCTGGGAATGATAAACATCTATAATTGAAACAAATGATTTAAAGTTATTACAGCTAATTTTATATCAAGTATTAAACTTATTTTTTATAGGAATATCAATTTATCATTATCATTGGCATAACAACCCGGGATGGACCCTGATCTTTTCTTTCAGGATCTGTTCACAGCAACGGTTCATCAGTTTTCCCAGTTCAGTAGGAAGAAGTCGGACCACCTGAGTTTGGGCCTTTTCCTTGGAATTTCAGTTTATGGTCTTTCAATTGTGTTTTTCGAATTATCTGTCACGCATTTTAATTTAAACTAGATTTCTTCGCAGAAATAATGATATTTTTTCCAAGTTACAATTATGAGGTACAGTTCCAAAATATAAATTGATCACTAGAGCTCATCCAAAAAAATTTATTTCAAAACTTACATTTCTGAGAAGATGTTCTATAATACATAAATAAAGGGGATTATAAAATAAGTTAACCATTTCCACAAGAGAGGATAAAAATTTAAATTTTAGTACAAAATCTTAAAAAAAAAAATAAAAAATATCAGAATTTTAAATAGAATATAGAAAAGAAGTTCAATAGTACATTAATGAAGGGAAAAAAGATAATAAAAAATTTATTTTTAGATGAGCACTACTACAAAAGGATTAAAGTTATGGTGTTTATTTAAAAATTAATTGCTACTTCTTTTAGAATTATTTTATAACTATGTGTTGCACTACTCACTAACTCATATTACAGAAAAACAATTATTTTAAGTCTATAATACTCCAAGTTAAATTAAGTCTTCCAATTTTTTTGCCTTCAATAATTCAGCTCTTTGGTAGAAATATTAAATTTTAAAATTAATTTTTCTATTATCAATTTTACTATAGAACACCCTTTCAAATAGATAGACTTTGAGTAATAATAATTTTTTCTCTCCACATAAGCAGGACCCATCTTATTGATCAGTTTAACATTTATTATATAATGCTAATTTGTACTAAGTTAGTATGATGACATAATTCTAATTTTTGTTTTGTTGAATACAACATTCCTGCTAAACAATTTGATTGCTAATAATTTTTTCTCCCCACATAAGCAGAATCCACCTTATTGATCAGTTTTACATTTAAAAAATTTGAATATAATGAAAATTTGTCCCACGTATGATGACATAACTCTAATTTTTATTTTATTTAATACAACATTACTTTGAGATAAAATACATTTTATTGAAAATAATAAAAGTTTAATTTAAAAAATAAATTTTTAGAAAAGAAATAATATAAAATCATGAAATTGCAGATAAAAAAAATACATTTATTTTTCTTCTTCTTCAGCATTATTTACAACTTCTAAAAACGAGTTTATAGTAGGATCAGTATTCTTTAATAAACACATTTCTTCAGTAAACATAGGACATTCTGGATTTCTAATGACTAATACAATTTGTAAGCCTGCCTCTTTAGCAGCAAAGAGTTCTGCAAAAATATATAGGTTGTTGTATATCAATTAAACAATAGTAAAGCACTTTTTAGATAAATTAATACAAAAAAAACATTTAAATTAATCTCTATTATAACATTAAAGTACAAAAAGATTGTACTATAGTTGAGTGATGCATTGCTAAACAATAATATTTTAAAATATACTCTCTGTTACATTGTGAATACCATGTCTTATAATAAATATCCAATCAATATTGCTCAAGTTAATATAATAATTATTGCTGCCATACAAAGGTATGACAATAATTACTGACTATATTTTTGTGAGTCTCATTAAATGTTTCCATATCATTCGATAAACCACCAATTTTTACCATTACTATATTGAGTCAATGTCATTGGCCAGTTAACCCTTCTTTACATAGTGTTAATTTGCTGCGAGGAGGCATAATAAATGCATTGGATATGTAAGTGTGTTGCTATATTTTCCTATTACTCACTGCCATTTTCTTAATAACATTAAAAAAGTTATTTATGAATATTTTTTTTAAAAATTTGGACAACAAAAAATAGTTTCCAATATAAAAATATTCTAAACTAACTAATTTGAAAAACATCCCAATAATACGCTGCAAAATATTGATATTTTCTAATAGCATAATATCACTTAGCACAAGACTATAATCATATTGTCAATAAGAAATGTGTTAAAATTATATAGTTTTCCAAATTTTTAGACCTTACAAGTTATTATGGACTTTTTTTACACAAAAATTATCTTAATATACATTTAGAATAAGATTATTTTTCGTTTATGGATAACATCAGTTTCGTTATAATTCAGTGTTTTTACTCATTTTTAGATATAATCAAAACTCAACAATATGAAAAAAAGACACTCCTGAAACAATCATCATAATAGCAACAAAAAAATTCTCTACCTTTTACATATATAGTGTGCCCTTGATGTAACAAAACATTTTTGCATATTAAAATTATGATTTCAATTTCTGAAGATTTTTACCTGTATTTTTAAACATTTATTTATAAACCATTCCTTAAATATTTTAAAATCATGATAGCTAAATTCTCCCTTCAAAGCACATGGTATTATGTTAGAGATGTAGCTAAGTAAGAATTTGACTTAAGTTCAGTCCTCCCCTGCCTCTCAAAATTTTATTTTTCAGGATCAAAAATATCACATACACACAGACATATATGTGAGACACAATAAAAAATGAAAAAATTACTAAGAAAAATTAAGAATTTATGATTTATTAAGTTTTATTAACTGTGCATAATCTGCAAGTACATAAAACCTGTAATATATATACATATATGTAGATATATGGGTGATTCTCACGAAACATGACAATTCGGATCAAAAAATTTCTTCAAATTTGAAGTCTTCAAAATAATCTAAAAATTCTTTTGTATACTTCTTTAGCTACATTTATTAATATCTTATAGACAGCAGTGTAGTTTATTGACATTTGCTCGAGAAAAAAATAAAATAGAAATTCACCAAATCTTGAATGCCAGGAAAATGACATATTACCTTAGAAGTTTAAAAAAACAGTAATTTTAAGTTAATAGTAAGTAACTCAACTTAAGCCTTTATGTTGGATGGACCATAAATTGCTCCAATTAATTCTTCTATGTATTAGATTTTGGAGCAAGGGACAGTGAATTTCATGTTTCGTGAGAATCACCCATATACATATGTAAGTGTATATGTGCGTATATGAAATAGATGGTCAAACACTTTCTACAAAAATATTTGTGTCCAAATATTCTTAGCCCCAAATATTGTGTACCCAGCTATGTGCCTGCACATAGAATTAAGCCTTTCTAACGCTAACAACCCAAGACCACATGGATGTGATTCCAATAAGGAATTCTCGTTTTACAATTCGTATTAGTACATACACTCTTTGTTGGAAATATTTTATGTGTTATGCAAATCAACTGAAAATCAAATGTTCTTTGAAAGTTATAATTCATATGGTGGCAACATCTCTAAATAAAATGTATTATATAAGCCTATTTGATGGACAGAGAAGGAGATCAGTGCAGCAGAAAGACGAACACAGTAGTATGTGACTGTGGGTTCGTTTAAGATTTTAAAAATAATTATGATGCTAATTTAAATCACTGTAAATGCTGATGTGCAAGAAAAACCCACACCTGTAATGTTTTTAATTAATGGCAAAGTATGCATTTTGCATTATACAATAAATGCTGTTTTTGATCTTCAAGCTTTGTCATGTTTTAGACTCTGCATAGAAAGAACTATAGCTGGACCTCTATTTAACGAAGTTGCTAAATTCCGAAAATGAGTTCGTTACATGGAAAATTCGTTAAATAGAAAATTACCTTTTGATATACTTACACATGAAACAGGTTTTAAATTCATAAACACTGGACATAATTAAATAGCAAATTGATTCACCTTTATCTTGTAAACTACTATCTACTATTTATTTTATAAATCTTAGCCAAAAACAAAATTTGCATGGAAAGCAAGAATAGAGCAAAACATTATCCAGTGTTACACTATCATGCTACATACATTTTAAACTAAAAAAAGCTAAATTTATGTATAAAATTATAGCTGTATTTATTTGTTGTATAAAATTAGTACTGCAAAGTGATTTTAAACATATATTACCACATGCATTCTCAAATTTAATTATTGCTGATAAAATCCGTTAATTTCGTCTGAGTTTCTTGTTTGAAATGCAAACAAAAAGGGAAAGGTATTTTAGTGCTTTCTCTAAAAGTTAAGGGGGCATTGAAAATCAATTCAAGGTCATTTCCTCTATAAAATGCGTTAACAAGTTTGAAATGTTCTGAAATATTTTGGAAAATAGGGAAAGTGGATCTCAAAGAAAATTTCGTTAAATAGAAAATTCACTTAGCTATTTGGAAATTATTTTACGAAGAAATTTCTAAAATGTTCTTGGTTCTTAGCAAATTGAAGTTCGTTAATTCGCAAATTGAAGTCCGTGAAGTTCAAATTTGCAAAATTGAAGTTCGTTAAATAGAAGTCTGACTGAAATTATATTCTTTAGCAGCTATAAAGTCAGACGGTGTGGTCCTGAGAAAGTGCTTCTTTCTCCTTCTGCCGGTCCCGAAACTATAGTAAGCAAGAGATTGCTTTGTTTTGAAAAAGTTGTATGAATAATCCATTCCCAAAAAATTTGATATTTAAGACATGGATGCACATATAAGATGTCACATCAATAAAATAGCAAAGAATTTGTTAATTTAAGAAATTTAAAAGAACCTTAGATTTACAATGAGTTAGCTACTCTGGATGATAATGTGCTAGATAAAAGATTAGAAAGAATTGGAAATAATAAGAGAGATTACAGAATAAGACAAAACAGAAGAACTTGAGCAAGACGTAAATTAAAATATAAATCTTTTTAAAATCTAGTTTAAATGATCATTTGAAAAATTTAAGAATTAAGAAACCAAAGTAAACAAAACACGAATAATTTCCTCTACTTTGAACAAATAAACATTAAAACCAAAAGAGTGACATAATGCATTTATTATCTACAAATCTTTATTTATAGTTATAAATTTGATTAAAAATTATAAGTTCTAATATCATTTAAAAAAGCATGAATATCATTAAAAATATAATTTTAAGAAATATCCATTGTTAAACAGAAGCTTATGATTAACTAAATTTTATGTAAAAGTAAAATTCTTCACTTTTCTTCAAAGGTAGAATGCAGTTTACTTTAAATATTATTCCCAAAATTTCCAAAACATCAGTACCTCTGCATGATACTTTTTAATATAATTGTATTAATTATTGGAATTTAATAAAAGGTTTAAAAAGAAAAGTCTAATCCAAAAAGCAAAACAATTTAACAAAAAAAATAGGCTCTTAAGATAGCATAAATGGCAATCAAAGCAAAGATAAATAGTAAAAATTAGCTATAAAACTATATAATTATCAACTTAAAATAACAGTAGTCTTTTTCAAAATAAAAAACACATTGATATTGATTTTGAAAGGATCTATTAAAGTATGACAATATAGATATATTTTTAAATACTGCATTTTGATTATTTAGAATATTTGATGCTTGAAATGCTTTAGACCTTGATATTTGCAAGACGGCCTAATTTTAAAATAAAGAATAATTACATTTAATGAGATTTTAAAATAATTACACCCCAATTAAACTGAATCTATACGCAATGAACTAAGAATAAAATTTTGTTAAGATTTTTCTTTTTAAAATAATAATTTAAAAATATAGAATACCCAAATTACAAAATTTTAATATATATTTCCAGTGTTTAGATAAAATTAATCAATAACTTTCAAATCTAGCATAAAGAAAAAAAAACTTTTTTTTATTGAGTACACACTTTTCTTATTGACAACACAATTATATGTACAAACTTAAACAGATTTAAAATTTATTGTTATTATTTACTTATTATTTTTTTTACCTTTGGGGCGATCAGAGAAAAAAACCACTTCATTTGGTGACTTCCCAATTGTTTGACAAATTTTTGAGTAACTTTCTGCATCAAGTTTTGATCCAACTTTGGTATCAAAGTTTCCAGCAATGTACTGAAAATAACACAATTACAGGAAATTATTAATTTTTAAATTAAATAAAATATAATAAAAACCTTCAATTAAATTATATGCATACATAAATTTTTTAATTAATATTTCTAAAGTAATCATTATAAAAAAAATCATGCATTTTTATTAGTTTACTAAAGTTTGCATAAATTTCATGCAAATACAAGCAGCTGAATTCCTGAGGATTCCTTTAAACACTTAATTGGGTATAAAAACTTAAGATTTTTAAGAAAATTACAGTAAAATAAAAAACTATAGTTAACACTCTTTTAGGCGTTAGAAATGCAACTACAATTCGAGAAATATGACTTTATTTATTTAACATAGAAATTACATTTAAAAACCAGTTCACTCTAAAACACTTTATTGTTAAAGAAAATAAATTTGAAAACTTTATCAAAATCCAGCTAAAACAAATAAAGGTTTTGAGGTATACATTGCAAAAATCTTTTGCAGTTTTTAAATAATATAAGAGAATAATTTAATTAAATTAAGATCAAGAAAATTTTCGCACAAAACTCAGACTTGATTTATGATAGATTATTTAGGTGATGGTGAGTAAATGAGCTTATCAAAAGGAAAGAAAGACAATCAAACAAATTTGATTTCTCATTCACATTGGATAATGATGATTTTTTCAATTTTAAAATGCTTTTCTTTACATAAGTATATAAAAGTAGAGATACTAATTAGTAATGAATCTTTAAATTTTCTTGAAAAAAATTTTGTTCAATAAGTATAGTACAAGATTGCATAAATACGGCACTAAATTCTCAAATAATTAATTTATTTAAAAACTTACAATGAAAATTGCCATAACAGGATTTAAAAGAAGTAATCTTTAACTAAATTTTAGAAAACAAATCAGTTGCAAAAACAAATAAAAATACTTTTGAAAATAAGTATGAACAATTATCTAAACTAAACTCAGTGGCACGACAGTCCATAGAGGGCCAAAGCCTACCGTGCCCTTCTCAGCTTTCTTGGCCTTGGGCTCTGGGGTGCAGGAGCGGATGTTCTGGTCACGTGGTCAGCCAAATGCGGAACCCCCAGTGTTTAGTTCCCAAGCATGCTTGGTACTCATTTATTGACCCACCGAAGGGATGAAAGGCTGAGTCAACCTTGCCCGGCCCAAAAATCGAATTCAGGACCTGCGGCACGGGAGCGCGAAAAGCTACCACTCAGCCACCAGGCGTCCAGCAATTATATACAAATATAAAAAATGCATCCAAATGTATATTTTATCAAAAATGTATATTTTTTTATTATAGAACTCTGTCAGACAAAATTACCTTCCTTAAATCTCCATAAACACTTCGTCCAAACAGCATGCACTGAGATTGAACACTTCCATTTGAATAAATGTAAATATCTTTCACTTGACTTTTCCAGATTTTGAAAGCATCAACTACGTCAGGATATAAACTGCAATAAAAAATTATGGTTAGATTCCTAAATAAGTTTGATAATTTTCAAAAATTTACAGGGTGTTTTCATGCAGTATTTATATCATAACAAATGCAAAACAAAGAAAAAATTCTTGAGTTTTATAATTTATTGCAGTATTATGCAAATGGTTATAAAGCTTATATATTAAAAAAATAAGAAAAAAATATCCCAGTGAAATAAAATAAAAAAATTTTAAAATTACAAAGTGCATTTCCGGCACATTGGAGATAAGCTAGTCTTTTATGATGAGAACCTTCTTATTCTAGAATAAATATTGCAATAACTTTCAATCGATAGTGGTCAGTATCAATATAAATCTTACAGAATAAACAATCTGTAATAAACTAGAAAACATAACTTCAACAATAATTTAAGGAAGCTTTCTCAAAGTGGGGAAAACTTCTGTTATTGCAATTTTAAGTGGTTTTATGTGAATTTTTTCCCACTTCTTTTTGCTTTATGTTACATTTGCTTTGCTGAACAAAAACTAAAGAAATTAGAAACTTGTAATTATGAAATTAGGTAGAAAAAAATACAGGGAGGGCAAAAGAGTAAAAAAAAATAAAGATTCGATAATTTGGAGAAATATTAACTGTTAAACTTGATAAAAAGAAAAAATGAAAACATGTGCGGTGAATCTGTAACCTTCTGAAATGCAACTACAATGTTAAAATTTGATATGCTAAAAAGTTATTTTTATTTTTGAACATAATGCAAACTTTGTTTCAAAATTCTAATCTGTTCAATAGTTAGTGGAAAATTAAGTGCTTTTTTGCAATTTTTTCCTTAAATATTAACTATTTAACCAATGTTATAGAAAATTTATCCTTTCCTCACTATGTCTTTATTTTTTTACTTTTTAAGTTCACGCTTGAGTAGGTGTCAATCAAAAGTAGCACAGAAAAATTAAGAGATAACATATTACCAGATATAAATCTCATCATTTGTGGTGGAATTTTTAATAAGAAAGAAAGAAAGTAAATTAAATCGTCAAGATGTAAATTTACTTCTCATTTATTTCTTCATATTGTGTCTCACAATCTACATTCCTTTTTATTTACAAGTACTAATGATTATTTCTCAAAATGAGATAATTGTCAATTTTGTTATGATTAAAAAAGTGTAATCATTGTATCATTTGAAAACAGAATTTTCTGTGTTTTTGGAAAAATATTAAAGAGTAAGTAAAAAACAAAAACAATGATGAATGAGATGCAATTATGGGGGTTGGTGAGAGGAGTGAGCAGGAGGTGAAGCCTCCTAGTAATAAAAAAAGTGCAAAAATAGGAACAGTTCATTTTCACCTAGGCAAAATAATAATGCATAATATATTATCTACAGTGTGAAAGTATATAAATGATATTTAAAAATTCAAATTACAAGTTTATATAATAAACAACATCTAGAATTTTTTCTTTCTATAATTGGAAATGGTGATAAAAGCCATAGATATACAAATACATCTTTGATTTGGATATAAAAATCAATATATACAAATCAAAGATATACAAATTAAACATAATCAATAAAATAACAGATAACTATAGTTTTATGCAATATATTATGCCCTTCTTGCTGAAAAATTGATACACTAGTACCTCAATTATCTGGGGTAATGCATTTATTTTTCTTGGCAAAGAAAAAAAAAAGAAGGGATGTTTTGTCCTTACTAAAATTGTTTAACTTAATTTAGAGTTGCAGTGCAGTTCTAGCAAATTGTAGTTGCAGTTTTATTTATGCAGTAAATGTTCAAATGACAAAATTAATTTGACAAATTTGCTGTTTACTTAAATTAAAATAAATACACAAATAACTACAATCAATAGTTAATGACATCATTAAATATCCATAAGCATTCGTAATCTCTGGATATAAAGTTTACATAAAAAATTAGTTTACATAAAAAATTAACTCTGTTCCAAACTAGATTTGTATAATTTATGTAAAAACTGAATTGTTATTTAATAAATTATTATTATTAAAATGAATAAAAAAAAAATTTTCTTAAAGTGTAACCGCTACATTAATTTAGCTTTTTAAATTATAATACTTAACTTTTTTAAAACACATTTGGTTTTTCTAAAAAGAGTAAAAAAAGGGGTAGATAAATTTTGGAGAGCCAAAAATAGTTCATAGCTACTCTCTTCTACACAAATTGTAGACATAAAATATTTAGTTAATACATTAATGAAAAAAGTAATTTCGAACCGAGATGGTTTTAATAAAAACTATACTTTCATCAATTTTGTTTACAGAGACTTAAATTTAACAGGTTTAATTTGCAGTAAAGATATACATTGAATAAAAAAATTTAAAATTTATTTATAGAATTGTTTAAAGACAACATGTAACTCATATTGAAAACAAAATAATTTTAATCTGAGTTAGTTGTACTAAGTTTCTATTAATTTGTTGTAAAAGTCACCCTATTAATTTGTTATGGTATTAGTCTTTTTTTTATAGTTGAACTGTTCTTTTAATCAATTTTTTTTCCAGAAATATCTTTTTAATTAGAAATAAAAGTGAAACTTTTTTTGCTACATTTTCTATTGCATTTATATTTTCTATAGAAAATTAAAATGATACATAAAGTGAAATGACAAAAAATGTGAACTGCTTCAGGAGATTTAATAAAATTGTCTCATCTGAGAAAAAAGAAAGAAAAAAGAATCTGATTCAAATTAATTTGAAATTAACCAGTTTTTCACTTAAATGGATGGCGTGGTAATTGGAAAATTGAACAGACTTAATATGGTGTATTGTGAAATTGTGCTTACAAATTTTAACATGAAAATTATACACAAATAATTTTTAAAAACCTTTTCTTTTTGGGGGGAAAAGGTGTTTGAAATTTAAATTTTTTTTTTTAAAAAAGAATATAATTTAAGCACAAAATTAGCACGCATCAGGATGATGATACCCAGATAATTTAGGATCTACTGCAACCACACAAAGTTAATTTTCTAATCCATACTGTCCAACTAATTCACCCTTGGTAAATCCATCCATCCAGACTAAACCTTGAAGTTCTTTAACAGCAGCTGACTTTTGATCACTTTGAATTTCATTCTTTAATTTATTAATAGTGTCTTCCTGAATTTTTGAAACATCTTTACATTTTACATCACTATTTTCATCATGGAGGGCAGTTTGTTTTTCTTCATTATTCTGACAAAAAATAAATAAATAAATAAAATGAAATAAAATTATAAATTGAAATATTGTAAATTATACAAGTAAAATGGGCACTTACAAAAAATTTATATTTAAAAATAAGTATATTATTGGCTACCTTTAAATTTTGCTACAATGAGCATAATTTTCATCTGCAATAAATTAATACGCTCAAAAAAACAACAACATAAAACTGTATATTCTTAGATAATAATCTAGCAGTTAAACTTTAGTCACTAAAATAAATTATTTAGTGGAAGAATAGTTGGAAAAATTCAAGATAATTAAGATTATGCTGGTCATGTATGTAGTATCCACTCAAACACACTATTCGGTTGTAAAAAATTAATATACTTTTAAAAAAACAACGATCTAAATCTAATTGGTAAATTTCAGTCATCAAAATGAATTATTTGTTGGAAGAAAAGTTGTTAAAACACATAATAACAATTATTTGGCCAGTCAAAGATTCAGTATCAACTCAAACGAGCTATTCTGAGGTAAAATAAATTCACTTAAAAAACGATATAATGGAATTTCATGGATAAAAAGCAAAATGATAAATTTTAATCACCGAAATGAATTATATAGTGGAAGAATAGGTGAAAAAACACCGAATAATTAGTATTTGGTCAGCTAAATACTCAGTATCCACTCAAACACACTATATACTGAAGCAATTTTCTCCCTATCTTACTAAAAAATAAAAACTTACACATAGTTGAATTGAAATGCTCTAATTTTCCAAATATCTTCTGTGTTAATCTAAAATATGTATAGCAGATCGAGTAAGAAAGAGTTATTTGTTATTAAGGTCTAATTAAAAAAAATTATCTCAATTATTATTTTTGATTATATAAGTCTTAAGTTCTGGTGGATGATGTGAAATGTATATTTTCATAATGATTTAGGAATCTAAAAAATATCCTGATTTCATTTCCGCCCAGGAAAATTTAACAGGTTCCGAAAGCTAATTTTTTAACCAGCAATAATTATATTTGTACCCAATCAGTGAGTGATAATTTTTTCAATATTTCAGTTGCGTATATGAACTTATTTACAAAAAATGCCAATGAAAAATAATAACATTTTTTGAACAAATATTTTTTCAGTAACAATGATGAAAAAAACATGAAATGGATATTCATTTATAAAAAATTTCTTAAGTATTTCACATCAAGCTTTTCAATTCAAAATAAAATGATTGAATTCAAGAATACAAAATTACGCTTCGCTTATAAATATTTTAAAAATTTCTAAAAAAAAATTTTTTTCAACCATAATTTATATTATTTTATTTATTTTCAGCATATGTATACACAAAGAATGAATTCGAAGCATTAAATGTTTTATTCTTCACATTAAATATTTTTTTAATAATTAGCAGTGGTTTTTCTTTGGTAAGTAGCTGCTAATGATTTTTTAAGTAGCTTAATGATTTTCATCGGGCCCTGGTTCATCGGGCTAAAAGAAGCTCAATTATTTATGGTTCCATAGCCGAAAAAAAAAAAATTTGGAACTGCTGCCCTAGTGAAGTAGAACCAGCAGGCTTCCTATGACTATGATGGTTGCCATGCCAATAATGTATATGCCTCTCTGAGTCATGTTTTAGATTAGAAACAAGTCTCTTACTGTTGTGCTGAATAAAGTGTGTGAATCAAGACAGTTAATTAAGAGATCCCTCAAATGACTATTTAACCATAGAAAATCCCATAACTTTGGAACAAATATTTGCAGCAGGCAGGGTTGGGTTTTTGCCGTCAAAAACTGGCTTTTGACATGACAGTGGTAAAAACCGTGTTTTTACCGGTAAAAACTGTCAAAAACCTACTGTTTTCTTAAATTTATGGCATATGGCGGACAATATATTATTTTCACATAATTGCCTTTATCAGAATGTTGTAAATGATTGCTATTGATTTTGCAACTATACATATATTCTTATAGAAGGATATACATTCATACAGTAATATTGTAATATACTTATTGAAAATAGTGATACTTACTTTTATCATTATAGCTTGATTTGCAAATGATTCAAAATTTTGCACTTCTTGATTGTTAGAAATAAACAAACAAGCATAAAAGCTTGGAACTATTAATAAATTCAAGAACTAAAAAGAAGAATTTAAAATTTGGCATTTCTTAAATATTAGAAATAAACTAAAATAAACTTTCAAAACTTGGTAAGTACTAACAAACTCTAAGTCAAGAATTACTGCTATTTTGTCAAGTTAAAAGCTTTTATTCAGTTGAAAAAGCGTATTAAGCAAAACTTAATTACAAACAAAATTACATGTTCAGTAGTCGGGGTCACTGTGCCGAAGCATACGATAGCAGGTGACTAATTTTGCGCATTTTTCATTGCCCAGTCGATTTCTGAGTTTAGTATGGATGAGTCCAAAATTCGAGAAGATTCTGTCAATGGAAGCCTGTCATTGAGGATAATGATAACAAAAGGTTATTGCAATGTTGCAAGGGAACTCTAAAAGGATTTCCCAGGATTTTTCATGTCTCATTTTTGTGTAAAATATTGAAAACAAAAATGATAAGAACAGTTTATTTTATGAGGCTTTCTCTTTATGTGTACATGTGTTTCTCAAAGCAAGATTTTATGAATGAAAGTAATCAATCTTGACATTCTTCAGTAATGTAATATGCCAAACAAAGTAATGCTTGGAAATGTTGAAAATTTTGTTTAGTATCCTAATATTTTACTTCAAATAGTATGTTTTGATATAAACATGTTGGGGAAATGCAAGAATCTGTTCTTAAATCAGGGTGGCCACTCAAATCAGATTTCAAATTTCCCTGATTTTTCCAGATAAAAATCTTAAAATTTCCAGGTTTTTGTTTCTTTTTTCTTATAAAGTGTACGATGTGTACAAGAAAAGTGTCTTTATTATAAAATATTTTATTCAAAATGTTTTTTTTTTAACATATCATCTTGAAAAAAAAAAATTAATTTGACAATTTGGCAAGATTTTTTTATTTATTTTTCAAATGTTTTCGTACAAAATTTTGAATCAAAAATCATATATTGACCAACAAAAGAGTAAAATGAAATATTAATATATAGTTGGTTCTTACAAAATTTTTTTTTTAATATATGTTATAAAAGGTTAAAATGAAATAGAAAAAATTAGCATTAATGCAACAATTGTAACAATTTATTGACAAACATTACTGCTAGCGATTGTAAAAAAAATGTGCGATTGGTTGGTTTGCTGAGAAAAAATAATTCACAGATTTCTTTGAATGGGAGTAGAAAAGTTTTCAGAAAAAGAGTGCAATATAAAATCTATTATTATTAAATTATAACCAAAGATTTTTGGAGAATTTTATAAAGTTAAAAATACAAAAACATTTCGTCAAAATAGAAAAAAAAAATTACCGCCAAAGTATCGGAACAAACTTGAGCCATAAATGGATTCAGCCCAAGGACAGAATTTAAAAACAGAAGCTAATATCCTATTCCCTTTTTCCATCTCCACCAGAATCTTTCCTAAATTGCACAGTCCCATAGCGGTCAAAGGTTTCTGCATTCGTTTAGCAACCGTGGGAGAATTTTATGTGGTATTCTAGTTTGACAGAGCTGTAATGGAGCAAATTTTGATGCAAGCAAAGTATCACTAAGTTGATGATATTTCAATGGTTTGGCGATACATTTCCGTTAAAAAAAGTGGGTATAATGGATGAAATAATTTAAATTAATTAATTAAATTAATTAATTAGCTTAAGAAAATTAGTAAATAATTTAAATTAGTGAAATTAAAAAAATTATCAAAGAAAGAATTTCCAGCTTTTCTTTAAAATTCCCTGATTTTCCAGGTTTTTATCCAAATTTCCCTGATATTTCCAGGTTTTTTCCAGTATAAAAAAAATTCCCTGATAATTCCAGGTTTTCAAGGTTTTCCAGGTGGGTGGCCACCTTGTAAATATCTTTTAACAACTTTTTTTCTAATTTTATAGCCCAAAATTAATTAATTTTAAATTATAAGCAGTTAAACTCAAATAAAAATACTGTTTTACCAAAACTATGGGTTTTTGACGTTCTTGACAGAGGGTTTTTTGACATGACGGTAAAAACCGTGGTAATAACCGGTAAAAACCGTCATGTGTCAAAAACTTGCCAATCCTGGCAGCAGGTATTATATTTTATGTAGCAGTTGGTAATGATTAAGCTATCATTGAATATCACAAAATTAATATTTTTTTAACACAATCAAATATAGCTTACCATAAATATTAATTCTTTCACAACTTTTTGAACTTCTACATCATTCCAATGGTTAACAATATAGTTTTGAATATTCTGAATTAGGTACTTATGTAAGTCTTTCTGAAAAAAAAAGTGTGTATATTATATATATATATATAGTAAAAAATTATTTTACAGCAACTAATAAGATACATTGTTCTCCTTAAGCATTTCTAGAAGGGAGTTTAACCCTTCCTGCACTTTGATCCCTATAAATGCTAATTCACTGTTTAAATAATAATTGCACACTGGTAAAATTATCTGTGTTAATATGTTGAATTATGATTATTATTAAAAATATTTACTTCGTTAAAATTATTCTCAACTCAATAAACTTTTATTAAGTATCTTTTTTTTCAGGGGGGAGGGACATAAATAAATTTTTAATTGTTTTAATTTTTAAAATTATGCTTTAAATAAATAATTATTTTTCTTAAATGGAACTTTTACTGTTCATTTTCTCATAATTTTCAGTTTAAATTATATAACAATCTTTTGAAGATGTTCAATTAAAAGTTTTTAGTAGTAGTTATTTAGTTAATTAGTTGGATAATGGGTGAGTTTTTGAAATATGCACATAAAATAATATAAGACGGTATTTTAAAAATTCTTGAAGGTTAAATTCAGTTATTACATAATATTACACATTTTGATAAATTTTTTTAATAAGTTGAAAGATTGCCCTTGTGCCCTTTCAAAACTTATAGTGTCTTTTCTGAGAGGCAGCAACCTCCACTTTTTACTTCTATGGATAACTCTTTAATATATATCTATATAGCACAATAAAGACAAAAAGACTAAAAAAGAAAAGAGAGAAAAACAAAGAAAAATATTATACATAAATATATGCATTATTTTTCTTAATTTTAATGATGCATATATATACTACCCTACAATAATTGAAAAAACACTTTCAGTTTTTGACATTTTTTAAAATTTCTCAAGAAATATTGTAACTTTATATTAAATATTGTAACTGTAAAAGTGCTTGTTCATGTGATTTTTCATACTTCGCAATAAGATTTAAAACTTTCAGAGGTTTAGAAGACCTACAATAAATTATGAAAGAAAATAAGTACTTTAGAAAAATCAAGCAAAAAAACTTGTAACTTGTATCAATAACTTTGTTATTTTCAATAACTGCATTAAGTTTCATAAACCTATAGTAAATATTTAAGAGAATATGGACATCTTTAATAAAAAATTAATTTTATCACCTTAAATTTTTTTGCTATAGCTTCATTAATATTTAAGGCAATTAAAAAAATGTTTGGGGAAGATTAAGATTAATTACAAAATTGTTGATTTAAAATTTTAACAAAATTTGTTAAAAACTGCACATGCACAGAAAAAATTTAAAAAAAAGTTTTCTCATAATATTGCAGGGAATCGTATTTGGCAACTAACAATAAAATCTCTATTTGAATATCCTAAAAGTTTTTTAAAAAATTCAAACAAATTTTTAAGTAGTTTCTGTATTTTTTAAAAGAAAGCTCAAAATGATAAGGGGTTGTGCACAGCTTTCATGTTGTACTATCAAACAAGATTTATTAAAAATGAGATCAGCATTGTGGGGGAGCACTTTCCCATAAAAGCATGTTTTCTTTCTCTATATCATCAAAGTTCAGTTTCCGGACAATTATTGTAAGATATTATCCTTTGTTATTAAATTTTGTCTTAAGATACAAAATAAAATTTTTAAAGAACCCCTGATCGCTTTGAGCTTTCAATCGAAAAGTACAAAAACCACTTACAACATTGCTTGAAACTTTTTAAATTAAGATTTTCAAATCAAATTTTTTTTATTAGTTACCAAATGCGATTCACTACAAATTCATGAATTTTTTTAAAAAAATTTTTCCGTTCATGTGCAGTATAAAAAAACTAGCTTAAATACTCTTAAATTGCGCAGTTTTTATCAGATTTTTTAAAAATTTTAAATCGACAAGTTTGTTATTAATTTTAAGTTGCTCCAAAAATTTTATACCTATAAATTTATAATGAAAAAACATAAGTTGAAAAAATTTATTTTTTATAAAAATATCTGTATTTCCATAAATACTTACTACAGGTTTATGAAACTTTGCAGATATTGTAAGATATTGTAATTCAATAATAATTCATAATTGTCCAATCAAATTGATTGGACAATTATTGTAAGATATTATCCTTTGTTATTAAATTTAGTCTTAAGATACAAAATAAAATTTTTAAAGAACCCCTGATCGCTTTGAGCTTTCAATCGAAAAGTACAAAAACCACTTACAACATTGCTTGAAACTTTTTAAATTAAGATTTTCAAATCAAATTTTTTTTATTAGTTACCAAATGCGATTCACTACAAATTCATGAATTTTTTTTAAAAAATTTTTCAGTTCATGTGCAGTATAAAAAAACTAGCTTAAATACTCTTAAATTGCGCAGTTTTTATCAGATTTTTTAAAAATTCTAAATCGACAAGTTTGTTATTAATTTTAAGTTGTTCCAAAAATTTTATACCTATAAATTTATAATGAAAAAACATAAGTTGAAAAAATTTATTTTTTATAAAAATATCTGTATTTCCATAAATACTTACTACAGGTTTATGAAACTTTGCAGATATTAAAAATAACAACTAAAGTACTTGATACCAGTGACAAGTTTATAGCTTCATTTTCTGCCATAGGGTGTTCAAAAATACTTGATTTCTTTCGTAATTTATAGTACGTCTCTCAGAGCTCTGAAAGTTTTAAATTTTATTGCTAAGTATGAAAAATCGCATGAACTAAACATCTCTCAAGTTACAAAATAATCCTTTAAGCATTTTTGTGAAATTAAAAAAAATTTCAATAACTGAAAGTGTCTCTTGCATTGTAGTAGGGTTATTAATTATCTCTGCTCTATAATACGAACACAAGAAAGAAAATTGTTGAGGACATTTAATTTTGGTAAAGATGTAACAAGGGATTTTTGGGGAGAAAGACTGGATATGAAATTCTCCTTCCCCAAACTTAACCAAAATACCAAACTAATATAAATATATAGCACAAACAAAACTTAATGAGGAATCAAGTGTTGGATATTAGTCAGTAAAAGAATGGACTTAGTTTCAGTTTAATTCTTTTATGCAACAAAAATCTTTCTAAAAGAACAAATGCTATAGTAAAATATAAACTTCTCTTACTCTGACAAAGTCAATTGAAGAGGTAGTACCCTCGATATCTAACAATATACAAGTTGCAGTATCCATAATATGCCTCATATCCTTTGATATATGACTCATTTTCAACCTCCTATATAAACATAAAGATGAGGTTTATAAAATTTTTACATTGATAAATGCTGATTTTAAATTCTAGAAATCAGGACGTTATTCCTTTTAAGACTTCATTTTTTTTTTTTTTACAATGCCGTTAACAAGGGGTGGCGGACATGTCTGATCAGAGAAATGAGGTTCTGGGGAAATTCAAATCTGGGGGCAATTTTCGGTCCAATTAAATAAAAACAATTAATATAAAATTCTTTATAGAAAAAAAAATGTGTTGGTTTATAAATTATAATAAAGAACTATTACTATTTCAATATACTTTGGTTTCTTTTTTATTCTAGAATTGTGTAAAATTAAGTTAATTTTTTTCTTGGCTGATGAATTTTTTTTAGCAAAATACAAACTTTACTTGGCCCATTCCATGATTTGCTATACCAAGGGGGTAAAATTTCAAACTAACAAATTGATAAAAATAATGGCTCACTCTAATGTAAAAAAAGTTGAATTTTTCAAATTTGCTAATGATTTGGATCAAAAAAATTTATTAATACACTAAAATTTACTATTTTATTACACTATTTGTTTTACGATTTCTAATATGATTTGAACAGTCACCATTTTTTTTACTTTAAGATGATAAATATATTAAAATGATTAAAACTGGAGTTAAAAAATAATGTTATGGAATGTTTCAAAGGTAAAACACATGGTCTATTTAATTAAAAAAAGTTTTTTAAATATGTTTACCAGTGGGAAAAGAAAAACACTTTTTGATAGTCACACACGTCACATTCACTTTCAGGGGTCTGTCCAGGCCGAATTTACTACCGTTTAGCGGTACCTTCACAAATTCAATTTTTAGGTAAAACGGTAGTTTCACAATGTCAACATTAGGAAAAACGGTAGTTTCACAAAATACTTATTCTTAAAATTTTATTTTTGTATCCCTGAAGAAACGATAAATCTATATTTTTTACCATGCTTTTGTATTGATTTTTTAATATAATTTTTAATTTTTCACAAATTATATAATTTTTAATTTTTCACAAATTAAATCTAAATTTTCACAAAATAGGTACCTTTCAGAAAAACTTAGACAGACCCCTGACTTTAAAAAGTTAATATAAAACATTAATGTGTGTGAGTATTAACTAAAAAACTTAGTTTAAAAAGTTTAAAGTTTTTTAGTTAAAAAACTTAGTTTCTGAAAACATTTTCAAAATTTATTGTAACTGTAGACACAAAAAGAAAATACTATACTTTTAGGGGAAATTTAAAAAAAAAAAAATTATTGTGGGAAAATATTAGGCTTAGAGAATTTTCTGCATGCCATGGTTCTCTTTTTCAGGATAGATTATGATGGTTTGCTTCTTTGAGAATATTTTTTTTAACCTATTATATATATTTTTTTATATAGGTATATCTATTTACTTTATCACAAAATTTTTGATGATAGGTTTCATTGCATCTTTGATAGCATCTGGGAATTAGAAACTGTTTCTCATTTCTAAATAATTTTATAATCAGCCCTAAAAGTAATGGGTCCTTTGTATTCCTTCCTTAAACCTGATTCGATATTAATAAATAAAAGTTTAATGAAAATGTATATAGTATTTATTTTCTATGCAAGAAGTCCTTTTTAATATATTTTGATCACGGCCGGATTATCCTAATTATAATTTAAACTGGTTTTTTTTTAAACACAAAATATTTTCACCTGAAATAATAATAAGAAATTATAATGATATTGTTTGACAATGTTTTAAAAACTTGAATTAAAAAAAGCATTTAAAAAACGCAAATCTTTTAGCACAGACATTTTCTATTAGCTTACAGTCAAATGTTTAAAAAAATAAAAATAAATAACAGTAATATTTTACGATTTGTTATTTGTTGTATGGAAAGAACATATTTCGTTTTTATTCTATTCTTATTTGCAAGGTTTAAAGAACACAAGGATGAAAGATAAGAATTTCACATGACACCAAATTTAAAATAAATTTAGTTTAAATAAGAAATGAGTTGATAAATATTTGTTTAAACAAGACAATTGTTAATAAAAAATACATTTAAGAGAATAATATTTTCTATTTTGTTGCATGGAAAGAAATTTTTTTTACTAAAGAGTTCATCAATAGAGAGCACCTCCATTGCTGTAAGAGTCTCCGTGGTCTTGACTCGGAGATCGCAAGATATTGGCTTTTGAGAGCTTTTGGGACGATGACTGCAGTCTCTCGTTATTCTTTATTTTTATTGTTCCTCTGTGTTATTGTTTGTATTCCCTGCCATTGGAAATAAAAAATTTTAAAAAAGTTCGTCAATAGTACTTTTGAACCCTTAGCTAAATAATCATTATATATTTTGACAGATGATATAAAGAGGCTTACTGGAGATTATGTTCAATTGGATTCTACAAAATAGTTTCTGGTTGTTGGCATTTACATTTTCATACAAATACTGTCAAAGAAAAAAATTATTATTTTATGAGTATGGAGAAAATGCATTGACAGTAAGTCAATGCCAAAACAAGTTTGTGAAATTTTGTGCTGGCAATTTTGATGTTGGAGATGCACCACATTACTGGAAATTCAGTTGAAGCTGATAAAGACACAATAAAAAAGGAATTAATTGATGCAAACTCAAGAGATTGCTGAGAGATTAAATTTATTGAATTTAATTGTTCATGATCATTTGACACTTCCAGAATTAGTTTGAAAACTTGATTTATGGGTTTCTCTGTTTTCATGGAAAGAAATGTATTTTTTCAGCTTTTATTTAAGTTTAAACATTTGATGAACTAAAGAAACGGTTTTAATGTATTAAAATGTGCCTTTCATAAATATTTACTATTTGTAAAGCAAAATGATAAATTGTTCTTTTGCATAAAAAAAAATTGCCGAAAATACATAATCAAAGATTTCCACTTGATTACCTTAAGTCAAAATAATTTTCTATTTAAAAGAAATAATAAAATCAATCTCCTACCTTATGCAAACTTAAGACTTTTAACGAAAAAAATATTAAATGAGGTATTTCAAGCATTTAAAATTCTTATCATCATAATTTAATCTTGATAAAAATGCTACACATGAGATAAAAAATTAGCGAGTTGATAAGAAAGAATTAGTTCTTTTTCAAATTTTGATATTTTAGTAAAGCGTTTCCGACTGCCTTTTTCTGCTATGTGTAGCCCTAATTTTAAGGGCAAATGTTTGAGTTCCGATCAAACGACATAGGATATGGGCTCCTAGATTTCAAGTTTTTGTTTTTCCTTGTTGGCATCAATACAATTGCTATCATTTTTTTTTTTTTTTAAATTTAAAATGAGGGCAAGAAAATTATAATAATTATTCCTATTCAGTCATTGATTGTTAAAATTCTCACATATAGCTTTTGCATTTTATTTTTTGATGAGAAATTAAACTTATGTTGTAGACGTGATAAAAGTATTCGAATAAAATAATGAATCGACTTGGTTGAGTTCTGCTGTTTTTATTAATGAAAAGATCAAACGAATGCACGGAATCAATATTTTTAAGCTTTTAGTGGAAACAAAATTTTCCCCAATTGCTGAAGTTGGGACAGAGCCATTTTATGAGTTTGAGTAATTTTAGAGAGAAAATAAAAAAGCTAATTTTGAATAATTTTTTAAAATCATTTTATTTTATGAATGAAAAACAAATACATTATTGCTAAAGCTTTAATACATTGTTTTGGAAGTTTAAGAAAGCATTAATTTTCGCTCCTTTTTGAGAAGTGAAGTCTGCAAGACATCATATTCAGAGATTTTTAACTTATTCTACTGGGGAAAATAACTCTTGAAATGTTCTTTTTCTTTTAAACTATACATTGAATCTCTTTGAGTATTATAATGAAATTTAGCCATTTTATTAATAATAATTATTTAGTTAAAAATAATTGGGATATTTCCAGACATGTAAGGGGACATGACTAACCAGAGAGAAGTTCCCATTTGACTGAATGAAATTCAGTGTTTGACCAAATCTTAAATATGATTAAAATGAATCGTAAATGCATGTGAATGTGCTTAGTACATACATGGAGAAAAAATCAAGAGTGACTTTAAGAAATTTCCAAAAATAAAGTATAATAGTCTTGTAATAATAGCAGAAAGTAATGTTCTCTCAAGAAAAATTCATACTTTTTTTTTCTTCACAGAAAGCTTTGTTATGTTATTATCAATTATACCTTAAAACTCTTCTAAATACAGACTGTCTAGGTTAAGGGGAGTTTTCTTGTTTAGTTGAGAACACGAGTAATGTAATTTTTGCAGTAATTAAATCAATTTAAAATTAAGACAATAGGTCTGATAGTTTAAATTTTAAACTGGTTTAAAATACTAAAGTACAACATTAGCTTTTAAATAATTATCTAGGCAAATGAAATATTATTTCCCATATATTTTTACAGCCAAATAGAATAAAACCAGGGTTGGCAGGTTTTTGACATGTGACAGTTTTTGACGGTTTAAACCGTCACGTCAAAAACCTATATTCATATGTGAAATTCAACTAATACATAAAATTTATATATTTTTTTATAAAGGATAGTGTTTCTAAATATGTTCTAGAAAAAATAAATTTAAAATTTTGAAGAAACACTTATATTTTGAATAGTAACCAAAATCTTGTACTTTTGAAAGCTCACATCTTTTGTAATATTATGTATTTCATTTTCATGTGTTATTGAAAATCTGCAGTGATATTATTAAGAAATTTATTTATAACCAAATTTAGTGTATTAGTATAGATTATACTAAAAATTAGACATTTTTAAAGATAAACATTAGCAGTTTTGTACATTAGACATCTTTTAAAGAAAAGTCTTTTTAATACAATGAATTCGCGATAACTCGAATCTGATAGGACTGACGAAAAACTTCGACATACCCAAGTAGCACTCAATATCAAATGATCTCGAAAAAACTTCGCTTACGACTTCGATCGATGTTGTTCCGAAACATCGATCTATGTAAAAACGTCAGATTTTTTTTACATTGTACGACATTGTGAAATTTGATATAGATCGATATCTCAATAACGCAGTAGAATGTCGAGTTTGAAAAAACCATATTCCACGGCATTTACGGATACAGTAGAACGTCGATGAATATTTTCATCATGTTATTCGTACAACAAATATTAATAAGCATTTAAAGATGCGGCAGAACACCGATCGATAATTTTGATACGTTATTCAAGAAAAATTTTTCACTGGGTATTGTAGGATATAGGTAAATTTGTGTTAATTATTTTATAAGGTTTTGCACTTCAGATTTTATTTCGCTAATTGTACTCCAATTTTTCAACAAAAAATAAGCTCTCAAAAATATTTTTAATCAGTTTCCAAATATTATATATATAATTAGGATTTGCTCAGTAATTAATTTAAAAATCAAGTGTAAAATAGGTGAATACTATATAAGTGTGAGCACTGTAGATGTAAATATAAAAAGCGAATATTAATGTAAGGCATGATAATTATTTTAAGCTCAACTATGATTTATAAATCAAAATCAAAGACTATTTGCTTGTTTTAAAATAACCACATTTTCCACGCATGTAAATTAGTTTTCTTATTTTTTAACATTAGCAATGCACATTTGATCTTCAGACAGGATTCAGTCACTGAAAATTAGTAATTTAATATATTGCACAACAGCACTAATAACTCAAAAGGTATTATAATTTTATGAGTTTAATAAAATTTACCCTTCTGATATGAACGTGTTTTTTAATATAGAAGGTGTGAATGCAGAGGAATAAAACAAAAAGTAGCTATGAATATTTTATTTGAATAAACATTAAAAATTTAGTAAAACAAATTGGCCCATTCTTGGGTCTCCAAGTCCAAAGAATTGATCACATCAATTATCTTAGGTTTTCGTCCTTCCCAATCAGTGGCTGTAGCAGACCTTCCAAAATTTTTCCGCAATCTCTTGGCCTCAAAACGTTTGAGAACTGTAGCTGGAAGTAAAACATTGTGTAATATTAATAACATTTAAAAAATAAAAACTGAAAGACTAACTAACAAAACACAGTTTATTAATGAGTATATAACGAAACTTAGAGAACTAAACTGAATGAAGAGCTTAGAGCATTGGTTCTCAACGGGGGCGATACCGCCCCCCTGGGGGCGTTGGGAGTATGCTGAGGGGCGATGAACTTGTTTTGGGCAGTAGGGGGGCGTTGGGTATGTTTTGGGCTGTAGGGGGCGATCAGCATGTTTTGTCATT